AAATATTTTAATAAGTTATGGATTTGATGAGTCATGGATTTTCTTTAAACTCATATGTATATATTCCAACAATTTCTAATGACTTGATATTCTCGACAATTTTTGATATAGAGGATTTATTGTTATACTTGTTTTCAATCGCATACATTTCAGGTTGTTCAGTAAATTCATGGCTGGCCATTAATTTGTTCCGTATTTTGGGAGCCGCTGATTATCGGATCTCCCGCATCGCATCGACAAATCCATGGCTAGAACTCGTGGCTGCTTTCACACTGATTCCTCTTTCACTCATAGCATCCAAGTAATGATCAGTAGTATCGCGTGAATTCACATGCAAATCGATTATTATATCTCCGCAACCACTACGCTACAGACAAAATAAGGTCGAAAAGATTTGATTTCTGTAGACGGGAATCTATATATTGCATTGATCATGAATATACGATTATTAACCCTTAACTTGACTTTTATTAGAAGAAAGCTATCAATAAATTGATATCATTCTAATTGAGTTTGCTCTATATAGCGTTGTATAGCCTGGGATATTGAAGGCACGTATATCAGGAATGATTAAAATTTCAGTAAATACTATGCAGTTGAAAGATACGTCTAATGATCTCAGGGGAATGACGAATTCATCGAAATTATTTGATATGCTTCGAATGTTGGTCCAATATCCACACACTTTCACTTTATTTTCTCTATTTTTCTGAATAATTGCAAGAAAGTTGCAAATTAGTCCATTAAGGTTACATTTTCAAAATGTTTTCCTCCTTGATCACGGCAAAGTTCAACTTTTTCAATTGTTCGCGCGCATCACATTGATTAGCTGTTCCTCAGTGATGTTCTGGAATGCCACCCTCACTTTATGCTCTAGTTTTTCACGAGTAGCTGATGTTGTATTGTAAACCTGATTTTTAATTGTTCCCCAGAGAAAAAAATCTAGCGTAGTAAGATCTGGTGATCTAGAATATGAAAAAGAAATAATACATTTATGTAAAAATATGAAAACTCAAGAATGTACCTCGCAGGCCACTGAATAGGTCCATAAGTGCCAATCAACTTTTCTGGAAAGGTGTCATTCAGATATGCTCTTACGACTTGAGAATTGTGAGGTGGCGCTCCATTTTGTTGAAAATAGATATCAACTTGGTTAGCCTGTGGCAAATCTTCAATGAAATCATTAATATGATTTCTAAGGAACTGTAGATATCTTTCCGCAGTCAGTTTTCCGTCGAAAATTATTGGCCCCAAAAGTTTTCCCCAATAATACCCATCCAGCAATTGAAACCAAATCGCTCTTGAAAATTTCCTTCTTGCATCAGATGTAAATTTGTTTGAGACCAGTACCTTTTATTATTCCTATTGAACATTCAGCTACGGTGCGAGTTTTCATTCTCTGCTTCTCTGGTGCTTCTTTCAAGGATTTAACAGGTTGTTGTGGGATGTAATGGTTTTCTGCGGTCCTTTGATAGCGCTTCCAGAGGTTTAATGTTTGATATGGTGTGTTCTGTGGATGTTGTGGGTGTAGAAGTTTCGGGGACACTTCTTGATTTTATTACGCAGATTTCAGGTTTCTCCTGATTGCCAAGTTCTTCTGGTTGGATGTTCATCCGTTTATATGAAATCGACATCTTCTTGTGAAGCAGTTTTCTTCTTTGTTGATTGTTGAATTTTGGCGGCATCATGAATGGGTATGTTTCGTTCAGGCAAGACTAAACAAACGTATCCTGTTGTTTTTTTTTTATCAGCATCTAGAAATCCTCTGTTGATCAGTAGGGCATTACTTGCTCACTGGTCTCATTCACTTTAGTATATTTTCAGATTACTAATATATACAGTAAACTATATAATTGGAAATGGGCCCAGAATGCCGAATAACATTGTTTTAATACTCATTGAAGAAAAATCCAAGTGAAAAATAAAGTTCAGGGGTGAATGAAATTTTAATTCATTTTTTGCTTGGCACACAGTTATAGAGGTTACAACACGACTTCATTCCGTCAATCTTCTGACAGAGAGCGAAAGTTGGCTTGTCAGAGATTGGCCTGAAAATATTGAAAAATTATCTATAGGGCACATTCGCTCTTTTTTATTTCTGGGCGCGTTTCCCTCACACGTAGCTTCCTGTTTAAAAAAAAATCTGTTTTTTCCGTTAACCACCTGTCGCACCCCTACGAACGACAAACCTCAGAAGTCGAAACTTGTGCGAGCTAGGGATCAACGAAGTCTTACCTTTTTACGTGTGATTTCTCGGTAGAAGATTCGTTTTCTTTTCTTGTGAAAATTGTTTAATTATCATCAAGTAAGGGGTCAGTTCATTCATGATGATGCTTTCAATTGAAGTTTCGTGCTCTCTGTCTTTTATATTCAATTATCCGCTTTTGAAACGTCTGTGTATATAGAAGTTATGAAGTTGGTATTAGTTATGAGTAATAAGTTAATTGATGCTTATATTTCTTTTCAGAACCTCCAGTAGCCCGGTTCTCTGGCAGGCGTAAATCGGTATTCGCTGAAACTTACGATCCCGAGGAAGACGAAGACGATGACGGTACGAAACTCGTGTTTCCGAAATCTGACGAGCAACGGCAAAGATTGGCTGAGGCAGTCAAGAATATACTGCTGTTTCGTTCTCTGGACAAGGAACAAATGCAGGAGGTTCTCGATGCCATGTTCGAAAGAAAAGTGCAGAAAGACGAGTTGGTCATCAAGCAGGGTGACGACGGAGACAACTTCTACGTCATTCAAAAGTAAGTACTTTTTCTACTTAATACACATTGCAATAAAAAAAACTTATATCGATCTTATGTTGAACCCATAGATTATGTCGTCGAAAATGTAGATGTCATTGTCATCTCATTTTACCTGTGGTACAGTCTGGCACCACTGAAGAGAGCTAAGACTGGTCGAAAGAGTCGGATATTGGATCGTGAATACTTTGTTTTTGGGCTCTGGTTTCGAAAAAAAATTATAGTAGCACTCAGTACAATTATATCTTTCGCAAAATAGCTTTTGAAACGTTTGGTGTTNCATTTCTGGCTCGTTGAATAATCTACTGTTCTACTACAAAATGAAAAAATGTCATGTTGAAAAAAAATTGATTGTTTGCAAAATGGGCATAATTGAAGTAAAACTTACAGCAATTTCAAATATCGGTTAACCAATTGATGTCTCACAATATTATTGATTTTATTAGTATAATTAAATACGCATGTGGTGTATTTGAATAATTTATCATTTACTAATGACTTTTCCTGTTTTGCCTGAAAAATAGTAAAACTATACCTACATATAAAAAGAGCAATCCAAAATCAATTGAGAATTAGAGACCTATCATAGTATGTTCGATTGATGTTCTTTTTATTTTGTAGAAATTCATATTGAATATAGGATAAAGAGAATAATTTCTATATGATTTGTACTAAGTTTTTTATTTGTTACGACCGGTTTCAGTTTATATAACCATTCTCAAGTAACTTTGGAGTGGTTTAATAATCCGAAACCGGTCGTAAAAAATGAAAAACAGTAGAAATCAGAAAAAAGTGATTTTCTTTAAGCTTGTCGCCCACTTGTCTGGCGTCTGGCACAGCACGGCACGGCCCGTCCCGTCAAAATACGTATAAGATTAGAAAAATGAAAGTGAATGGACAACCGCCCACTAACTCGGCACGGAACAGCTAAGAGCGTCCGCCGCCGGATAGGATTTCAGCTCTCCGATCCTGACCGGCAAATAAAGGCTCGCGCAAACCGAAGCGGCCGCGAACGCGGTGGCGATGCGTTCAAACGCTGTGAATGTAAAATAAATTAAAGAGGGCAAACCTTAGCGATCTACCACACGCGCCCGCTTTTTTTGCCGCGAACTGTCCGCGTCTCGCTTGGCGTTCGGCGGTATAACATACTTTTCAAACTATCAGGTGCAGCACAAGATAAACTCAAAAGATTATAAAATAAAATCATTAAGGTAAATATGAAAGTTACAGAAAATAGTCCATTAGTTTAAAAGTTTCAACATTCGAAAATTGAAATTATGAGCATTTGTGACCTCTATGTTTTCAATTATATTTCTTTTGGCGGTGTATTTTTCAATAAGATTTAAAATTTCTTCTGAATATATGAAATTTGATTCATTTTGCAAGTCTTGTGACAGATATTTGAATATGTAGATTGTTGGGCCCTAAATAACAAAAGTTCTTCTGACATATTGACTTTTTCGCATAAGGTAATAAAATTACCTGTTTGTTTCGTGCTGAATAGTTATGACAGTATATCAGATTAGATTTGTTCTTATATTGTACGATGGCTAAATTGGTTTGATAGTTTGGAATCAAGGAATTCGTATATGTTTTGAGTCAATATCCTAATTGGATCTTGGGTAGATTTTTTTCCCTTCAACCCTATTGAGACTCGGACATCCATTTATATTTTTCAATTTTAATATTTTCGTAACTTTAGCAAGACAAGCTATCAGAAAAATATGGCCTGTAGTTTGCTAAATCAGTTATATTTCCATTTTTTATGTATAGGAGTGTTTTAAATGCAAGGGAAAAACACCCAGTTCCATGCACTTGTTGATGAGGAATGTCAGTGGTTTCAATATATGTTCTAAAATAATTTTGAGTGTCTCTGCTTTGATGTCACCTATAACAACTGGTGACTTTTTATTCAATGACACTTTCGATTTCTTTTTCTGTTGTTGGATATAAATATGTAGCACAGGTTTTTTTTTATAAATAATTTGAAGACCGTTTGCTTTTTTTCGCAAAGTTTTCTTCTATTGAAATAAAATAATCATTGAAATGATTATTTAGCAATATCCTGAGGGTCGTGAAATTGCCCACCGCTCTGTAACTCAATAAAGTTGGTTGGTAACGATCTCATTGACGATTTTCCACATTTTTTTAGGATCATTTTTTTTCCTCCAGAATTGATTGTTGTTATCAGTTTTTGCAAAATCTTTTTATAATTCATATATTCTTCTTGCAAGACTGATGTTGTTTTTTTTGTTCACTGAATTGACTAAAGGCGTGGTGATCCTTTTTTGCGTTTAATCAGGTAACTTAACTTTAATCAGGTAACAGTACTGAACTTGTAAAGAATATTACAAGTTCAGTACTGCCGTTTATTTGTATTTGTACGATATTAATGAACTCATCCACTCCAGAATTAACATAATTGGATCGTAGTAATCCGTTCCATTTTATGTCTGAGGAGTTCACTATTATTTTTTTTTGTGATATGTATTCTTATTATTTTCCATATGATTAATGTCTATACTTGTGTTGGGAAATGTGTTGTGTAATAGATGTTCCCAATAATATAGGTATAATTTTATTATAAGGTTATTAATTTTTTGATCTTATAAATTTATGATCTAAACAAACAGGTACTTATGTGATTCATTTTTAACTCTTGTTGGTGCGTTCATTGCAGAAACATATCCTCTTTCATCAGTGTGAAAGCAGCCACGAGTTCTAGCCATGGATTTGTCGATGCGAAGCGGGAGATCCGATAATCAGCGGCTCCCAAAATACGGAACAAATTAATGGCCAGCCATGAATTTACTGAACAACCTGAAATTGCATTGGTGTGCGGTGGTTTTGTTCGCTTTGCGACCGCATCGCCACCGCGTCCGCCACCGCGTTCGCGGCCGCTCCGGTTTGCGCGAGCTTTAACGGTACGTGCTCTGACGGACTGGCCAAGTGAGCGCATCGCCGGCCAGTGCTTGCCAGCATCAACTTGTCCAAACGTGCCTGTTTGTCTGTTTTGCTATTTCATCAGTTGACATCACGGTGTCAGACAGTACCTATGAAACTGGACTAGAAAAACTTAAGTTTGTTAAGGCTTGTTAAGGCAGGCTCTAGAATATCTAGAAGTTCTGAAAATTTGTCTGGACTAATTCGGAAAGATTGGAAAAAATTCTCCTCGTCTTCTTTCAGGTCGTTGAAAAGATGATGAGACTACCAGATTTGCCCTCTTTTAATGAGTTGGACTCACATCTTTCTTTTTTGTGACAATTTTATTTTTCATTCAATGATGCGGCCACTATAATGACGATTTATTTGTCAGAACTGGTAGTGATAGACATGTTTGTGTCACCGCTCGGTGTCAACTGAAATTACCTTGAAATCGAACAAACAGCATCTTCAGTATGCTGGTTGTAGCTGGACAAGTGGGCGATGCTGCTACTCGTCGCCATCAAACGACGGACAGTGCCGTGCTATGCTGTGCCGGACAAGTAGGCGACAAGGTTTAAGCTTGTCACTCACTTGTCCGGCACAGCACGGCGCTGTCCGTCGCCTGACGAGGAACACTCGTTTCCACTTTTCGATTCCATGTTATAATTTATTTTGTTCGTTGGAAACTACGTATAGGTATATTTCAAAACAAAATGACTGTTCAATGATCAATTTTGACGTTTGAGAACGTACAGTTATGAATTTGCTTATCTGTGATTGGCCCCACGGGTCAACTATGATTGGTTCGATGGTGTGGGATGGATTATTTTGCCTTATTCATAGGAAAATATCCTTTCCATTCATTATTGGAAGAAAACTCTTAAAGGAAAATTATTGTTTTTATTAGAATTCAATAATTTGTGATTATTGTTCATTGCCAAGTTCAACATTGAAGAAGTTTAAGCAACCAAACAAGAAAGACTGTGTCAGAATCCTAGAAAGTATAGAAATCAGATACAGACAGCATTACCTAAAGTCGATTTGCCAAGCAAAACTCAAGAGCAGAATCTTGAAATCCAATGAAACCCAGTAGCATTGCAACTTGGATAAAGCATTAGCGTTTTGTGTGATTGGTTGAAATATAACGCTGCTACTGGGCGAAGTCAGGCGGCGATGCTATCCGTGCGAAACCGGTACAGCATTGCTATCCGACGAATCGTACTGTAATGATAAAAATGCTATTCTAGAACTAAAATTCATGCAAATTATTATAAAAGACTTAAACTTTTCAAGCTTTCATGTCTCTGTCGAAGGAATAAAAAATTATTCTACAAAAATTAAAACTATGAAAATTTACATTTACAGAATATTTGTCAAGGATCTTATGAACTAAGTAAGAACTTTATCTCTCCGAACATATCCTGAAGAAGGACCTTTCATTTTGAACTGTGATACGTCTCAACACTGCATCAGTTTTGTATTATCTTATAGGGAGAGAATAAAGTATAAAAAGTTGTAAAACTCTGAGCAAAGCTGAAAAAAGGCAATGCCATAGAATATTTCTACTGGTCACAGTTTCTTGTAATGGATAATGAACCTCAACAAACCTGAAGATCAAGGTGACAGACGGTTGTAAAGACAAAAAATATAAAGGGGCGATGACAAACATAGTGTTTGTCTTTCGCTTCAGCCTAGTTTGAGGAATGATACTCTGAAAGGAATTTGATTTTCAATTACAGAAAATCATCGACTTCATGTTGATGATAGACACTACCTTGCACCGAAGAGTGGCTAAACAGCCCGAATCCGGTCTGGAAGTGTGTTCCTTTAATTGAAAATCGATTCCGGCAGTTGTATCGCCAACAGCATAATGTAGGAATAACTTCAGTGAGGAATCCTGCGCTGACACCTGTAGAATATAATACAACGCCTTTCGAGGTATTAACCAGGGGAGTAGTTGTTTTCTGATAGGTGTCAGTCGAATAACCTACAGTGTAGGTAAGTTGAGACTGGCCTGAACGAATTGTTCTTTTTGATAATTGATTAAATAAAATTGGTTCATAAGATGTTCCTGT